CGATATGGCTAGGAACTATACTCTCATTCCGGCGTAATAATCAAGGAACTTTGCTGCCGTACCATGGGTGCAGCAGGCGCAATGATATTACGCAGTGCCTGAAAATAGTCCCAGCTAGGTAACTTCCAATAAGCCTATTTTCAGGCGCTAAAACTCAACTGTTTAACTCTAGGGGAGTTGGAAAATTAGCCTATTTTCAAAAATAGTGGAGTGTTCCTTTAAGTGCTTAACTCTCTGAAATTCAAAATAGAATATCTGATATTTGTATGAACTATATCCACCTTTTTCTTCAAAGTGGAAGTAAGCCTATGCGCGAGACTTCTGGTTGATTAGCCACTAATAACGAGTAAAACTGTTTGCACTACAAACCAGTGTGTTCATAATTAAGATAATACCTTAAAATAATATGGTAAGACACACCCATTTTCAATATCAAGCAGCCAAAACGAGCTGTTTTGTACAGCTAAAAATAGCTGGACGCAGATGAGACCGGATGCCAGACCCATAAAATGTACAAATGGCCACACCCACTCTTACAGGAAGAAAAAGTTGGATATGTAACATATAATCAGCTTTATTTTTAAATGAATTCAAAATGATTGTTTCCCATTCACTCTTGAATGGTTTCACCCATGATGCACTGTAAAAAAAATATATATTTTTTTTTTAAGTAGTAAATGAAACAAACACTATTGGAGTGCATTTTACAATAAAAAAATGTCTACTTTCTACTTGAAATTTCACATTTAATTCAGAGTGTTACCTACCAATTCTTTGTAATCATTTCAGAAATGTATTCACAATTGAAAATTGCTAACATTTTCCAAGTAAATTTGAAAAAAATACAAAAATATTTTTTCAAAGTAAATCCTACACAATTTTTTTTGTGTACCATAACTAAATTATCTTAATTATAATAAATATTATAATATCATAACTTAATACAACATATATTATTTTTTCAAAACAGAGAGGAATGAAGTTCAAGTGTCAAATATGGTTTGAAATCAAAATACACATTTCATAGAATAATTACTGGAAAAAGTAAATGTTTTTTTTTTGTTTGTTTTTTTTGCAAAAGATCAGTATAAATAGGTCCTTGAAATAATTGCAGGTTACCACTTTTTTTTAAATACAAATTGACTGGTATATTGACTATAAAAATAGAACATACAATTTTTTGGGGGGTTTTTGTCTTGTTTGCAGTTTCTTATTAACTCCTGGTGTCCTCTACATAGAAAATATCATAAAATATTAATTAAAAAATACATTTTCCCCAACCATTTGTTTATTATGCTCCAAACAATGTAATAATGTTAAAAAGAAAAAAAAGATGCTTTTTTTCTATGCTTCTCAGGACGATATGAAAACATTCCTCAGAAAATAAAACTACTGCAATTTCTTTGAAAGAATGCAGAATGGTCAACTTGTTAGATACAAAACAAACCGCCAAGCATCCAATAGTTTCTGCAATTTCACTTTTCTTTGGTGCAAAACTCATTATCATTATGAGCTGCACGCTACACTTTGCAAGGGCATTTCAATTGCTCTTCCCCAGGGAATGAGATGAGCCATCATTAGATTGAATGTTTTTATCAACTCTGCAAGGCCATATTCAATCTGATTTGCAAATGCTGCTGGTTGTATGATGTAAGATTTTCATGTAAGCGTTCTCGCTTTCTGACTTGGAGGGAAAAGCCAGCCCTCTGGTTCATTACGTGAAAATGAGAGTTGTTGGCTTTTACTCCAGATAGAGGTCCATTAGAGGGGCTTCTCTTTCAACGTCCCATAAGTCATGTTATCTGAGACCCGTGGACCAGGCTGTTCCATATCGACTCCATGTTCTCTCATAATCTTTGCGACTTTTTTATATCACAAAGAGGATGGTGTCTGTTATAAAGGCACAATGTAACATAAAACTAACATACTTACTATGTCCCTGTTGAAATTAATGAAGAACCACATCAGTCTCCAGCATCTAATTCAACTAACTCTAGAATCAATGCGCTGCTGTAAATGAACCTCTCCTTTCCATTTCCTGCCTGACAACAGCATGAGAGATGAGACCTGAAGAGCATGTGCCGCAAAATGAGAGACAGCACCACACATTTCTGTTGCTCATACAGTACTGCATAGTGTGGAAGCTTGTTTCCGACACTGAATAAAAAATTAAAAAAAAGATATCAGAATCTTTATCTCAGAATTCTGACTTTTTGCTCAGAAAAAGTGTGCAGTGTGAGCTATGAAGTCAGAATTGCAAGATAAAAACTCGCAGTTCTGCTTTTTCTCTGTTTATATCTCACAATTCAGAAAATAAGAATTGTGAGATGTAAACATGCAATTGTGAGTTATAAAGTCAGAATTGTGAAATATAGAGATTGTAAGAAAATACCCCATTTATTATTTGCCTAATAAATGACAATACAATTTGTAGGTTTAAACATATTCCTAAAATATTTGTGTTTTCTCTTTATTATGACATGCGGTCTAGACATTTTAGCACTGTTTATGTATCGAACACAACTGCTGAAAAGTTTGAAAGTTTGAAAAGTTTTTTTTTTCAGCTGTTCAGCAAGGATGCACTGAATGTCAAAAGTCAATGTATCATGGTTTTCTCAAAAATACTAAGCAGCACAACTGTGTTAAACTGATAATAATCAGAAATGTTTCTTGAGCAGCAAATCAGCATATCAGAATGATTTCTGAAGATCATGTGACACTGAAGACAAATTCAGTTTTGCATCACAGCAATAAATCACATTTTAAAATATATTCAAATAGAAAACAGTTATTTCAAAATTGTAATAATATTTCACAATATTCTGTTTTTATAGCATTTTTGATCAAATAAATGCAGGCTTAGTGAGCATAAGAGTCTTCAATAAATTAAAAAATTTTACATAGTTCAAACTTTTTATATAAATATTGTTATTCATTTTCTTATTTAATATTTCTTATTAATTTGTGAACAATTTAAGTGCTTGCTCCTCTGAAACTTCAACAACAGTTTCACACTGCAGGCTTTAATTAAAGGTTTCATTCTTATGAATGGATACATTTGTTCCTGTCGCTTTGACTGAGTTCTCTTTTTTGATTTTCATTTCATTTGGTGGCAGAGTCTGGAGCCGCAGGGGAATGATGCTGATTGTTATTTGCATGAGCCCCCAAATCTCTCCTCTCTGCTCATTTCTTCCCGTTTCATTTTCGACTCCAGCGAAGGCCCAAAGGCAGAAGCCATCTGTCTGCTGAGATGTGAAACAAACACCTGCAGATAGCTGGAGCTGCCAGCACTCTCTTATCTTTAGGCAAAGAAAATGGAGCATGAGCGCGAGAGAGAGAAAGAGAGAGAGTCACGGAGAAATGTGAGAATTATCTGCTCAACGCACTGCTCTTTCAAGTTGAGGGATGTTAACAATGTTTACAATCCTGTTCTCAAACTCTATTACAATGTCTTGATAATCAAACGTATAAATAACTTAAATAAGGATAAAAATAACTGATGTGAAACATACTGCAAGAAAAATGAGAAGAGCAATCATAGGTTTTCACACTAAAACCAACCCGATCTCATGAAAGTGCGTATAAATAGTACGCCAAATAAAAACGAAAACTCGTGGTATTGATACGCAAAAATGGACTTTGGCGTGTATATGCTACGCGATGTTTAGGTTTAGGGTTGTTGATTTGATCTATTAGATGAAATTACGGTGGCTGAGAAGTGCAAAACAAATCACAATTCTGAAAACAAAATAACAAATTACAAACGCAAATGCAAATGCAAGTCTAAAAAACAAAATAACAAAAAAAATACGGAGTGTCTATTTACATTTAGTTAAAAGTAGTTGTAAATCATCAGCTCTAGTGGCGCAGATAGATAAGTGCGTGTCGTTGGCTTTTTGACGCGATCAACCCGAGTTCGATCCCGTCTTTTGCCGAACTTTTTTTTCCTCCCTTTTCAAATCTCGTATTAGCAATGGATTC